CGCGTTCGTGAAGGCATGGGACCCCTGGTCATTGCGTTCACGAGAGGACCCTCGCGTTCGCGAAGAGGAAATTTGGGCAGCACATTTTGTGCTTCGTGAACGCGAGGCAAGGGTCGCGTTCGCGAAGAAGAAATCCCTGGGCAGAAACTTTAAGTTCTCATTTTCTATTTTTGACAAATTGGAGCTCGGGAATAGGCGATTTTCGGGAGATTTTCAAGAAAAACAATGGGGTAAGTGTTCTTAACTCAATATTGGTCAAATTACCCGAATCCATGGTTGTTTTTAACATTTAATTGAGGATATAAGTTGGAAGATTTAGAAAACCCTCTTGGCTTAATTTGAAGATTTGAGGGTCGAGTTGATGTCGGATTTTAGTAAAGATTGTATGGTTGGACTCGTGGTTGAATGGACGTTCGTATTTTATAACTTTTGTCGGGTTCTGATACGTGGGCCATACGGGTGATTTTTGGGTTAAATTTCGGATTTTGTTAGAAAATTTGTATTTTCATATGGAATTTATTCCTATAATTTGTATTGATTTATGACTAGATTCGAGCCGATCGGAGTTAGAAAATCGAGAAAAAGACATACTACTTGACTGATTGAGCGTGGTTTGAGGTAAGTGACTTGTCTAACCTTGTGTGAGGGAAATTCCCCTTAGGATTGGTATTGATATGAAAATTTTGATGTGTTGAAAGTCGTGTACACGAGGTGACGAGTGTGTACACGGGCTAAATGTGAAAGATTATGTTTTTAAATTGTGTAGATCACTGTTGCATATTAATTAAATTATTTTATTATATTATATTCATTATCATTAGTATATTTTCGTATTTTAAATTTGTCTGACCTGTTCCTGCTAAGTGTTTTACCTGTTTAGTTGAAACTTTATTTTTTTTTGTTCTGTGCATTATTTGAAGGTTGGATTTCCTAATTTAAATATTATTAAAATGAAATATTTTACATTTAAAAATTTGATATTAAGGCAAGGTGTTAAATTTGTGAAATATTATTTTTGCTGAGTTATTCATTCCTGAATATTTTGTGAGATTTTGTACTCATTGTGATCGAGTCGTGAGCTCCTTATTGTGAAAAATATTCTTGTTGTTGATTTATTTTAGCAAGTTGAAATATTTGGGCACTTGATGTGTAAATTGTGATATATTGTGATATTGATATGCATGCTGTGGTATAAGGTTTGGGTGTTGAAACGCATGCGGTGAGATAAGCGTGGCTTGATACGTGTGGCTAATAGGGGAACTGCTAGAAGTCATGCGGTGTGATAAGGGTGGCTAAAACGCGGGATGCTATTTTGGGAAAATGATTTTTTTAAAATTCAATGTGAAGGCTCCCGCTGTGATATAAGGAAATGAGATATTGTGAACATATTTATGATTTGGGACTACGAGGCGGTACTTTAGGAGTGCCCTTGTTGATATTTCTTTATGGTTGCATTTGTCTTTGGTTATTTTGGTGATTCTTTAAAGTTGTAAATTTCTGTTTTCTTTTAGCAAGGTATTATTTGTCCTTATTCTGTGAAGTTAAATTGCGACAAACTACTTACTTGATTCATTTTTATTGTCATTTTGTTATTATTATATTGTTGAGCTTTTCACCATGTCTTTTATTATTCCAGTAGGGCCTGATTTGACCTCGTCACTACTCTACAGAGATTTAGGCTTGACAGTTACTGGGTACCGCTGTGGTGTACTCATACTACGATTCTGCACATCTTTTTGTGTAGATCCAGGTACACCCTATCAGACCAGGCATCAATGAATTTGACTGTACACGGAAACTTCAAGGTACATCTGCCAGCATCCGCAGACCTCAGAGTCCCCTTCTATCCTTATTATGTTGATTTTCTTATTTTCTTTAGACTGTGATGTATAGAGACACTGAGGATAAATTCTTAGAAGCTTGTGACTTATTCCTACCGGGTTTTGGGAGTTGTAATTGTTAAATTTGCAGTTCTTATTTATTCAACTGTTAAGGATTAAATTTCAGTTTATATTCAGTTATTCCGCATTAATAGGCTTACTTAGTTTTAGGGATTAGGTGTCATCACGACAACCTACGGAGGGAATTTGGGATCATGACAATTTCTGTGTCCATTTGGATAACAGAACTAGATGTTTCAAGCATACCATTGTCTCCGTGTCCAAGAAAGCTCATGTCAGTGTTACCTGTTGGGGTATGCTTGAAACATCTAATTCTGTAATCTAAATGGGCAAATATCATTTCGGTGTTGCACTTGAAAATGTTACTTTTATCCTAGATAAGAAAATTTTTATTAGGTGTTGCACTTAATTTGTAGATGGGAAGTTAGCTTAAACATGCCATCTTGCTGCTCCAACAACCTTACACTCATTCCACCTCCAGTATTTTTTTTTTTATTACTATTATTTTGGCTTGGATGAAATTCATGAGTAGAAATATTCAAACAAATTATCCCAATAACTTTGAGAGAAAGAGAAATTTCCTCGGTAGAAAATTGATGCAACAATTAGCTGTGATATGTCAAGTTCCTGCTCCATGCATGTACGATGATGTTTCGAGTGACTGAGGATTAAGCCCGCCAAAAAATTATGAAGTTATATTAACGTTAAAATGATGTAACAAGTCTAGTCTTTTTAAAGAAAAATAAAGGACATAATTAAAGTGAACGTTAAGTTGTACTGATTGATTTATTTGCTGTGCAGTAGACATAGGTTGATCATGAAGTTGGAAGGGTTGAGGATTAAGCGCACGAAAAAAGTATGAAGTTATATTAATTAATTCTCCAGTGTCTATATAAAAGGACCATAAATCAGACTCAAATGCATCCAATTTTCGTTATCAACATCCCAGTGAATCATTTGGTCTTCATATCTTGAGATTATTGAGTTCTTTCTAATGGCTGCTGATAATTTATTCGGTGAGAGAGTTTTATATATGCAGTATCCAAATTCTAATTAAGTAGGTAGCACTTAAATTAAGCTCATGCTTCTTGGGTCACTTAGAATGGAAAGAGCACTTCCTCAAAATGCTCATTTCTGCTTCTATATATATATAGTGAGTACGTACATAGTTATGTGGTTTTGCAACTGTTCGACAACATCAAGAATTTAATTCAACTATGAACACCTTCAAGAAAGATGGAATTTTGCGTAACCTTGCAGTACTGTTGCTTTCTTGTTCAGTACTGCAGTCTGCAAACAACATAAAATTCCATCTCTGTTGAAGGTATTCATAGTTGAAATTCTTTATGTTATCAAACTGTTCCAATTCTATGTTGCATGTAAAACCACAAAACCATGTACAGACCATATATAGTAGCAGAAATTTATCCTATAGGTTGTTTCATGACAAGATAGTGCACTTGAATGCTGAGCATTTTGAGGAAGTAATCTTTTCATTCTAAGAGAAACCCAAGAAGCATATTGGGTTTAATTTAAGTGCTACCTTCTTAATTAGAATCTAGATACTGCTCTTGTGCAGTTTTGATAGCGATAAAAAATTTCATCATCAAGGCATTACCAAAACTTTGAGAAATCTGAACACTATTACATACACTATTCAAAAAGAGAATTATGATGTTTTTCCTTTTTCTGCGTAGAGGTGTCTAATTGAAGATCGTATAATTACCAAAACTTTGAGAAATCTAAACATGTTGTCATTTCCTAATCTTGACAGACAAATCCTTCATCAAAGAAAAGCTCAGAGGAATCCCCTTGATAGAGGTATATATGTATATATCGCGAACAAGACTTTAACCACTTTTTGTAACATTATAGGACACGATGTGCTTCTGCTACTATAATGTCCTGAGGAGTTAAATCTTGGTGGAAGAACTCTAATATTTCTTTGAGTATCAATAGACTAAAGCTAAACAAAACCAATAGACTAAAGCTATTTCTTGTCTAAAAGTGCAATAATCAAAGTTATATTCCAGTTATTCTATAAATTTCGACACCGCTTACAAAGATTCTCCATACGCCCCTAGTTCTGAAGTGCCTTTTAGAATACGAGCGTTTAAACACTTTTAGAGTATGCTTGATATGATGAAAGTCAGTTTCCAAGAAATATTTACATTTTTAGACTATGTTTGACATGACGCAAGTCATTTTCCAGTATAAAAATGACTTCCATCGTATTAAACACGCCAAATGAACTATTTTGTGGATGCAAAACAGTACAACAACAACAACATACCCAGTATTATCTCACACTGTGGGGTCTGGGGTGAGTACGCAGACCTTATCCCTACCTTGCGAGGATAGAGAGGTTGTTTCCAATAGATCCCTTGGCTCAGGATGCAAAACAGTGTATGATTTAAATGTTTCTTTTCCTTCAATTAACTGCAAGGAGGATGTCAAAGACAATGCCAGATTCATGTATTTAATATATTCACGATGGTCCATCGATCTAACCATTGATTGAGGGGCAACTCACGAAAAAATGGCCCATGCACAGTCAGAAACCGTGGTGCATGGATGTGGCCTTGCATGTAGGCCACAGAAGAACATCCCATCGTTCTAGTGCTGGTTTTGTTGGGTGGTTCTGTACAAAATTCGGGTAGTGCATGGTATGGAACAAACCATGTGGTTTAGTTTAGAATACTATTGAGTCAAATGCTTTTGAAAAATATAGACTATTCAGGAATGTTGATAAGCTTGTGGAATTTGCAGGAAAGATTAGAGCAAAAGAAAGCAGAATATGCAGAGAAGATGAAAAATAGAGCAGCTTTAATTCACAAGGAGGCAGAGGAGAAGAAAGCCATGGTTGAAGCTAAACGAAGAGAACAAATTCTTAAAACGGAGGAGATGGCTGTCAAATATCGCGCCACAGGACAAACTCCTAAGAAGTTACTTGGAAGTGTTGGATGATAAAAGCTTTTCCCTTGTATATTTTCGTGGCTGCTGATTTTTAGTGTGTGTTCTTTTACGCGTCCAGTTTTGTTGTATGCTTCTTGTTTGAATAGGATCTTACTAGTCTGCATAGGAAAAACACTCTTGTGCTCTGAAGAATTCAATGTCAATAATAATAATTCCACTTGAGAAGTTTTCACAAAAGCCAGCATTTTCTCCCATGTTTTTAGCTACTCAAAAGATGTACTAACTTACAGAAAATATGCTTCAAACATGTCGATAGTTGCAAAAAAGAAACATGCCACTAGACCTAAATTTGCCTGACATTTCTGGCTTACATAACACATAAGATGGCTCTATTACTATAACATTAATACATAATGGAGTCGAAATACAAACTTTTTCTGCATCTGACCTACTAAAGAACAGAAATTTTTCGACAGTTTAGGCTTTCAAAACCACCATATTTAGAGAAAGCCAACTCTGTGTTCTGCTAAGGAGCAGTTCAAGGAACTCTCACTCAAAAAGCCAAGAAAGCTCATGTCATTGTTACTCGGGAAATCCAAAAGAAGTTGCAGTGCTGATTCAGATGAATCCTCCAATTCACTGGAGCTAGAGGTGTCGGAACCTTGCAAGATATCTTCAGTATATGGTTGGCTGTCCTTCCACTCGGTATCTTCAACAAGAGTAAGGTCCATCTCAGTTGTGATGCCTGAAGCAGATCCATATTTTGTAGATGAAGATACTTGAGAGGCTGGACTTTGACATTTGTCTTCATTCTTGAATTTCCTAAATGCTTCTCCTATCTCTGAATTCCATATGCGTAAAAAATAGTCGGTCTCAGACCTTCCTGCTGATGATGGAACCAAGAGTTGTGATTCCCTGGATAGACGAGCTTCAGCTTCGAGCCTTGCACTTTCCCATTGTGCCATGTGACGGGCTGAAGTTGATGTAGGTGGTCTTCTCAACAGCCCATTAGAGGGTTCATGAGTCAGAGGATCAATGCCCATAGAAAATAGGCGTTTCTTCAGGTGAGTATTCCACAAATTCTTGATCTCATTGTCTGTCCTTCCAGGAAGTTGCGATGCGATTGCAGCCCATCTGGATAGAGATTCAGTTTCTTGGTTATTCATAGTTATACAAGTAAAAATTCAGCTACAGATTCTGATGAACTACGCTTGACTAGGTTCCTAATGCTGGATGAATGCTCAATCTGATTACTCGGCATACATGGATCAAATTGATGTTCTATTTGTTGCAGAAACTCTGAGAAATTACTAACAAGAAACTCCAAATACATTTTAGTAGCTTATCAAATTTTCAGAGAATTAAACAACAAATATTTTTAAGCAGACAAAGGGGTAAATTGAAGACCAATGGAAATGTCATTCATATAGATATATTAAGTTGAAAGTTTCATAATATCACCTGTTGCCAAGAATGCCATGTAACTGAATGACAAGCTTTTCTTCTTCAGGGCTAAAGGGACCTCTTTTGATATCTGGCCTGAGATAATTTGTCCATCTAAGACGACAACTCTTCCCACAACGAAGAAGACCTAAAAGAAAAAAAAACTTACAACAATTAATCTCAGACATTAGCAATGCTTTTCTTTCCTTCATTTCCATTGTCGACGTGTTCTAGTAAAATAAATCTTACATCCATAAAAACAATCAAACCATAAAACAACAATGAAGTAAATGGATCTGTATTTGCAAGATACAATACCATACTATGTATTACTGACCAAGATCCAGCAATTTAGCATTTTAGACATGTTACATATATAACTTAATCAATGCCCATTTGATATCTGAATATGTACACACCATATACCAATTCATCCCAAAAAGTGTACAGTGAATTCTTCTATACACACCATCTTAAAGCTAGCTAGCTATTCTACCAGAAAGCTGATTTTTCTTCAAAATAGTTACCATAATTTGTTTGAGAAATAAATATCCTATTTTTCCAATGAGTGAACATGATACTTGCAATGTCTAAATATTTGAACATGGATAGTAAAAGCAGAGGAAATTCACCCTCCTCATCACCATTAACACGAAAAGAAAACTCCAATGCCCATTAAAAGAGTAGAGAACATATGGCTGCTTCACTTTCCTCTGTTAGTTCACTTCATCCAAAGTTGGAAATGGGAAGTATTTTCTCACTTCCCTTCGTCTTACCACATAAACACAGACACAAACAAGATAGTCCAAAGGAAGTTACCACTATAATGTCTCTCCTTCCTCTTTTTATACCATAGTATATAGGATTCCAGATTAGTATAGCTTGGGAAGTAAGACTACAAGATCAGTTGACTAGTAGTTATGTACAAAAGATTTTGTTTTTCTACAGAACAAAACTAAGGATATACACACAAAAGAGAAGGGTTGTGAAGAAACCTGCAAGATTTGGAAGAGAACGCCAGCTACCATGACCATATTTCTTGATATACTCAACAAGCTTTTCATCTTCCTCAGGTGTCCATGGTCCTTTCTTTAAACCTTTCTTATCACAACATGGTGTTCTTCCCATCTCTCTCTCTCTCTCACACACACACACACTCAATTCCTTTGTATTTGTTTCTCAATGTTTACCTTGAAAAACAGGTCTTTAAGCTATGAAAGCGGAGTCTTTTTATGAGTAAAATGGCAGGACGGTGTGACGTAGACAGCCTACCTGATGCAAACATCAATGGCTCCTTTGGTCTTTTTATGAGTGAGGGGAAAAAAAGAAAATGGACATGTCAAATGGAGTAATAGTACAAATTGTAGGTCATATATCAATAGGGGAAAAGCATCAACAGGTCTTAAGCTGGCCATGCATTTAATGCCATGATATGATATCTAAAGAGATACTACTACTATTACTAATGTAAATAAATGTACACAGGCCACATGTTACAAGAAAAATTGAATGATTGATGCAATAGAACAAGAAAGTTGCATTGAATGCATGCCTAATCTTCAATTCTTGAGGTTTGAGAATCTGATCTGAGATAGTATTGGATAGCAAAAGCTTTTGGTTAAATGCACAGTACACAGACAAATATATATAGAGAAAAATAGAGAAACCCCACAAAAATGCATAGTGAGCATTAAATCCAATTAAAATCAGCATAGACTTAACTCTGTCTTTAGATTGAGAACAGAGAAATAAAAGCAGCAATTGGTCAACAAGTACTAGTATCTTGTCTGTGAAAGTCTATATTGACACTATGTACAGAAATAAATGCGTAGACAACTTAAGTACTACATGTGCTATCTACACTATAATTGCTTTGAGTCAAGGTATAGAATCTAACTACACATGAATAGGCTCTTCATTAAGCCTGACCGGTTAAAAGCTATATTGCTCGGACTCTCCGAAAATGTCGCCGAAAATGTTGCCGGATTTGTGTCGGATCCTTCAAAAGTAGTGTATTTTGGAGGATTCGACACGGATGAAGCACCATTTTGGAGAGTCCGTGCAACATAGATTAAAAGAAACAAATCTTCCTATGTCAATGTTGTCATTTGCTACCCTTTTCAATACAGATTGGTTATTTGTCAGCACCAATTTAGCTTAGGATCTATTTGAAAGCCTTTAGCTTCTTTAGCCTTTCTAGCTGTAGAAAAAGTTACCTCTGTTCCGTTTTATGTCATCTTTTCTTTAGTCTGCTCCAAAAGAAAATGACACTTGATATATTTGAAAACAGTCTAACTATAAATTCTTATTTTACTCTCAATGACATGTACTTAGAGTCACAGAAATATATGTTTAAGATTACAGATTTCAAAAGTTATTCTTTCTTTCTTAAATTTTATGTCAGCCAAACAGTGTTATATGAAATGAAACGGAGGGAGTAACTGATAAATCATTCTATCAAAATCGCATCTAATTTAAATATGGGGATGTAGCAGTACATTTGACACCTAATGAGGTACAAAAGTAAGTTTTCTTTTTCACTTTTAATCTCATTATTAGGAGGAGATGGTTATCAGTTACCATTGCTATGGACAAACTTATAAGCAGAAGATATGGGGAATTATATATATCAGGAATTTTTTGAAAAATTACAATACAAACTCTGAACTCGAATCCATTTTTATCACAGGAAAATAGCAGGTGCAATGACTACATTTACTAACATAAATTCTTGGGACCCCTTTACTTATACGATTGAAAAAAAGAGAATGCATTAAATATGAAAGAGAAGAGCAGTTAATGGGAGGATCATGAAATTTCAAAGCATTCATAAATACAAGAAGACAAAACCAACACACATCATATATGTAAAACACACTTTACTAAATTTTGGTGGATAGAATTACCAGATACATGTGCTGATGACGTTGAGCGATAGAAAGTAGTTGGTGAAATAATCGAGACGTGCGCAAGCTTACTTAGATACCACCGTCGTCATAGGAAAAAGAATGTAAAAAACACAGTTTAGAACAAAGGGTCATAGAGAAAGAGCATTAATGGAGGTGAAAAAGAATACTCAAAGGGAGGGAAGAGTGTAGAGGGAACACTTGTTAGGCAATGAAAATGGAAACATCTATTTCTTGTGATAGGTTAACATGGCCTTCGTTTTCTGGGGCTAGGCTAGTATTTGAAAAATGAGAAGGTCTATTCTATGTCAGTGAAATGAATGTGGTCAAACCTCATGTTTGCTGTACATGAAAGCCACTATAGGTATAAGTCTACACTTAACAACCCAAAAATTATTGCAAGTGTCCTGGTAAGTGGTAAAGTCTATCAAAGTGACATGATTATATTATCAATATATAATCAAATATACAGAAAATAAAAAAAACAATAATAACATGCCTCAATTCCAAATTAGTTAGAGTTAAAGTATCATTCTGTTTAGTGGCGGAGCTAGAGTTTATACGAGCGAATTCGAGAGTAGCAATTTTTTAACCAATTTTCTCGAGATTCAACAACTCATACATAATCAATATTTTTAAGTCGCATTTTGAAATTGCGCTTTCGAGAAGTTCTTCCATTGCTTCTATCGACATCACTCATATTAAATTAATAATTTAAGCTCTCTAACACTAAAAGTTTTCAATAATTTCTATATAAGTTACCAATATAACTAGTTATATACAAAGTGTTGTAAAGTGAAGAATGTTTAAATGTGAATTTTCCGCTGCCGCCCGGAGGCAACTAAAACGAAAATGACTAAACTCCACCAAAAATTAAAACAAGTAATAGAGAATTTGAAGATTGCGAGGTAAAGGTAGAATTTTATTTTGAGTTCCAATTAATTTATGTTGGTCGCCTTCTAAATAGCTACCTGTATTGTTATTTTGTAAAAGAAAATTCCAAATATTCTTGCGATACATAAGTCGCATTTGGAGGTTGCGATTTGTAAGTCGCATTTGGAGATTGCCCATTTTGCGATTTATAGTTGCATTTGGAGATTGCGATTTATAAGTTGCATTTGAATATTGTGATTTATAAGTCGCATTTTAAGATTGTGATTATAAGTCTCATTTGTTGATTGCGATATATAAGTCGCATTTTAAGATTGTGATTATAAGTCTCATTTGTTGATTGCGATATATAAGTCGCATTTTAAGATTGTGATTATAAGTCTCATTTGTTGATTGCGATATATAAGTCGCATTTGGATTGCGATTTGTAAGTCGCATTACGAATTGCGATTTATAACTCGTATTTAGAGTTTATAGGTAACATTTGGTGATTGAGGGAGGTTGTGATTTATAAGCATTAACTTATAAATGCCGCATTAACTCGTATAAGCGTTAGGTATTGTGATTTATATGTCGCATTTAGAGAATGTGATTATATATCGCATTTTGAGATTGCAATTTATAGATTGCATTTAAAGATTTTTTAGTATCATTTGGATTGCGATTTATAAATCGCATTTGCAATTACGATTACAAATCCAATTCCTCCGATTCCCTTTTTAAGTCCCACAACTCAAATGTTATTTACAAATTGCATTCAGAGCGATTTATAAGTTGTATTACGTAATGACTATTATAAGTAACATTTCTGAAATGTGATTTGCAACTCTCAACTTATAAATCACGTTTAAAACTATTACAAGTATCATCTGTCAGACAGTACGTTACCTCAATTAACTCAAAAATTACATAGTAATTAATTTTTTATTAACTCGAACGAGCTCTTAATTAAGAATGAGGCGATGCTCAAGCATATTGTGAAAGTTCAAAGTAAAAGATTATTACGAAACGTCACAAGTTAGAAAATAAATATACTACTAATTAAGAAGAATATAATTTATTCACAACTAATTGGTAGTACATGTAAAAAATCATGTTATTCCACATTATGCCCCATTTTTACTAGATCTGTACGGATTAAAAAGTTACTACTATAAGTTTTCAAGATGAATTCCTACTTTTTTTATTGTAAGTAACTAGCTCGTCCGTTGCTCTGGTGGTGAGCAGACAAGAGTGGGTTGCTCTAGCGGTGAGCACCCTCCATTTTCAACCAAGAGGTTGTGAGTTCGAGTCACCCCAAGAGCAATGTGGGGAGTTCTTGAAAGGAAGGAGCCGGGGGTCTATCGGAAACAGCCTCTCTACCCAAGTATAAGGGTAAGGTCTGCATACAAACTACCCTCCCTAAACCCTACTAGTGGGTGGTATTATACTGGGTTGTTGTTGTTGTTGTGGTAGCTCGTCCGTTGACTGGTTACGTCTATGAAGTCAGTGACTCTTACGTTGGTAAAACTCTTAAACTCTTACGATAATAAGAACTTTTAAAAAATCATTAATCCTAGTATTATTTAAAAGATAAATTCGGGAAAATAGTCAGAAGAAAGAAGGAAGAAAAAAAGAAGAGAGGATAAAGTAGAGCAATGAAAACGGTTCAGCCTAATAAGTTAACTACCTCGAAGAAGAAAAAAACGAATATTTGTTGTGGTAAAGAGTTAGAAAAGGGCCTCATTTCACACCAATTTAAGAGAATTATATCCACAATTTTTTAGAGGTTATTAAATTCCATCAATTTCACCTCCTATTATGTGGATCTCCCAATCACGTGTCGTATTTTTATCGGTGTAACAGCACAATTCAATGAAAAAAAGTTTGTAAATATTTCTTCATTACCGGCCAGGACAAATTTATTCGTTCGTTCGTTTGTTTGTTTGTTTAATGTCAATGACCAAGAAGGAAAGATAAGATTATTGAAGTTTTTTTCTCTGCCATTTGACATTGAAGAAAGTTATATTGAGAACAAGAAAAGAAGAGAAATAAGAATAGAGGAGAAGGAAATGGCATTCACAGGTACATTGGATAAATGCAAAGCTTGTGATAAGACAGTTTATTTTGTTGATTTGTTGTCTGCTGATGGAGCTACTTTTCATAAGTCCTGCTTCAAATGTAGCCATTGCAAAGGCACTCTTGTGGTATGTTTAGTTAATTACCTTTCTCTTCTTTTTTACTCCTTTTCTTTTGCTCTACTTCACGATTTGGCAAGTTTTACGAAGAGCCGATGTATAGCCGCGGTAAAAATAATAGTCGAAATATGTATAAAACTTGTATATTTTTTTGTATATATATACATTATGTATGTTATATACAAAAATTATATAAATTTTATACACTTTTTCGACTACCAGATATAAATAGTTTCTGACGCAGGCTAAAAGTGATAATATCCCTTTTTGGACAGATGAGCAACTACTCCTCAATGGATGGTGTCCTCTACTGCAAGACGCATTTCGAACAACTTTTTAAGGAATCTGGAAACTTTAGCAAGAACTTTCAGACTGCTTGTAAGATATTCTTTTTCTCAAAGTTCACGATACATTTGCAAAGGTTTCATTATATCCATATTGACCAATCAGTTTTAACCTTATTTTTTTTAATTTATAAGCAGCCAAACCTGAGAGGGAAAATTCGCTGGTACGTTATGTCTCAAACTTCACATTTCTACGATATTATATTGGTACAACCCAGTCCGCCAGTGATATTGTTCGCTCTGGGCCTAGATCCTCACAGGTTTAAAATACGTCTTTAGAGTCTAAGGTTTGTTAACTTATATAACAAACATCCCTCTTGTGTTTTGCCGATGTGGGACTCTATCCAAAGTCTGGGGTGTTACATACACCCCCTCTTATGGACTCAGCATCCTCGTTGAGGTTTGTCTAGACTCAGCACTGAGGTTTGCTCCGCCTAACCGGGATTTGCCTAAACTCAGTGGAACTCTGACCTATCATCGGCAAGACTGACACAAGAGTGACTCTGATACCATCTGTAACAGCTCAGCTCGCTAGTGATATTGTCCGCTCTGGGCCTAGGCCCTGACGCGTTTTAAACCCGTGAAGGCCCAGGACCAGAGCGAACAATATCATTAGCGAGCTGGGCTCTTACAATATAGTCCAATCAAACCAACCAACCCCTCATTTTCCTTTTTTTTTTTTTTAAAGAAAATTATTTTAGTTCGTTCCTGTATGTGATGGAGCAAATTCTAATATTTTCTTTTTGTGTCTCCTTCAACAATCCTAATGGTTAAATGCCATAAATTTTGTGTAGACAAGGGCTCCAAGCAAACTCTCTGCCTTGTTCTCTGGTACTCAAGACAAATGTGCTGCTTGCAACAAAACTGTTTACCCTCTCGAAAAGGTAAAAATTATATATATTTCGGAAAATATGCTTCATAAAATATAATTTTTCAAAATATAAGTCATTTTCTGGTGTTTGAATGCCATAAAACATTCTCCGGATATAAATGACTTTTCTCGCTTTTGAGCGCAGAAGTTATTTTCCATCAGGATTATTTTGCTTTAACCAATATTTTTTTATCAAACAGTGAAAAATATTTTCTAAAAAATTATTTTCCAGAAAAAATGAGTATGTTTTCGGAAATTTACTTTTATCAAACCATTTTGCTTATATTATCCAAATTTTATTATCCATCTTGAATCAATATTTATTGTCTATCTTTAATATTCAAAATTTTCATTAAACAATACCCAATTTGCTAATATTTTCATCAAAATAATATTACTCCTATCAATCTTTAATACAATATGTGCTTTTTTCTGGAAATATTTTCACTCTCCAACCAAACAATGAAAAATATTTTCTAGGATTTTTTTTTTCAAAATAAGAAATTTTCTAAAAATGACTTTTCTCATACAAAACACTCAGATCAATATGATTTTGTGTTGAATAATAGCTTCTAAAACCCCATATAAACTTATCTCCTAATGATGATTTGATTTCATCTCCGTTTTTTTTTACGTTCTTGAGCCGAGAATCTTTCGGAAACAGCCTCTCTATCCTCATAGGTAGGGGTAAGGTCTGCGTACATATTATCCGGCTGTTGTTGTTGATGATTTGATTTCATATAGGTAACAATGGAGGGAGAGGCATTCCACAAATCATGCTTCAAATGTGCACATGGAGGTTGTCCCTTAACTCATGCAACATATGCTGCACTTGATGGAGTCCTCTATTGCAAACATCATTTTGCTCAACTTTTCATGGAGAAAGGAAATTACCAACATGTCCTCGAGGCTGCTAATAACAAGAAAAATAGTGCTGAAAAGGCAGATGATGAGCAAGAGACTACTGAAAAGGCAGAAGATGAGCAGCCACAAGACAAGGAACCTGATGATAATAATGAGCAACCAATTATAGAGGAATTCTGATAACATAAAATTTTATACTATTATTGGTTGCTTTAACCTAAAATATTTGTGTTTTTTATAAGTTTGAAAAGGTTTTCTCATTTAAATCCAAGGCAAATACTCTTGTATTCTGATTTACAATTCTTGTCTTGTTTTTTTTTCTTTCATTCCCCNCTTCTTATTGTATTGTTGCAAGCATTGCTGCTGAATGTTGTTGAATCAATTAAAAGAACTTCGTTTTCCCTTCTCCACAGACGAACCAGCAGTCATACTCAGTACATACAAGAAGATAGAAAGAGAGGTTGCAGGTTGTAATAGGCTATAGCAGCCGCATAGGACTAACTCTGAAGCCTGAACTTTTGTAGTGCCAAATATTCCAATCTATTATAGTACACACACATCAAACCATTGTAATCCCAAAAATAGAGTGTTGTAAGTGTACTTAAGGAACTTTATTCAGATTTAACATTTGCAGATCGGAAGGACTCTTTAGTTCGTCCATAATAGATGGCCTGCCCGCTGGTGTATGTTATAAAGTTCCAACCAAATGCTGATCCTCCAACGACATATGTGCCTTGGACAACACCATCTCCAGCTTGGTGTTTCTGAGATGAATTCGCTTCAGTTTTTGCAGATGTCCCATTTTCTGGAGGCTTCATGTCTTTCTGCTGCTCGCTAGGCTTTTCTCCGTCCTTGATATCCACGGACATAGGCTGAGCTCCCGGTGCATCCTTAGCCGCCTCTGGATTTACCGTTTCAGTCATCATTTCCTTGTAAAGATCCATCAGAAGATTTAACTCTGCATACCAGCATTTAAATGCACATAAAGATACGTCTGATATAATATAACAACATGCTGATTGTCATGCTGAAGATCTTGATCATAGTTTGACAACCCAAACAAAAAGGAGGGGACACACACATAGTTCCTAAACAGTAAATTACCATATCCATGGCCCTCAGGCAATTGAATTGCTATAGCTAAAAAAGGAGTACTCTGTCTTGTGCAAATCATGCTAATAAAGCGTGCTTGCACTAGAAAAAGAGCCACATATACAGAGAGTGTGGTTGCCCAATGAAGACACTCCTGGACTCGCCATGTCTAGAGCTTTCGGAGATTTCATGCTCAAAAACTATGGTATCATCTCAAGGCCTGATGTTTCTTATCACCATCTTTCTCCAAATGATCAGTTTCTTGTTCTAGCATCCGATGGGGTAACACCATTGTAACTCTATACTTACAATTTTATTCTGTTTTTCCTCTGTGTCTACAACTCTTGACATATCCTTTTTTCATTGTAACACATTAGGTATGGGATGTGCTGAGCAATGACCAAGTCGTTTCCATAGTGTGTTCAACAAATGATGGATCAGCAGCCGCGAAAGCAGTGGTAGAGGCTTCTATAGATGCTTGGAAAATGAAGTTCCCTAACAGCAAGAGAGATGACTGCACTGCAATCTGCCTATTCTTCCAACAAAATGTTTCTCCAATAAATAGTACTTGAGCTATGACTATATGCAAATACTAGCTTTTTGTTATACTAATATTCCAGACTGCAAAAGCACTAACAAGCTTTATTGAAGTTTGATGTACTTTGAATGTCAACTGGCATGGCTACTTGCCATATATCCTTGAGCTGTTTTGGGTGCTGCTACAGTCTTCAATTATGATGCATCCAAGTGCCCCGAAAGTGAATCACACTGAATACAAGTTCTTATTGAGATAATCTGATCAGTTTCTCGTGCTAACATAAGATCCAAGCATTTCCTAAATGAAAGCTGAAAACTGCTGCTATGTAAATCAATATACAAGGCATAAGCTCCAGAGGAAGAAATGGCTTGGAAGGTAGATCTTTAACCACAAAAGTACATCACTACTACTAGTATGCTGCTGCAACCAACCAGCATGTACTAAAAGTAGACACACTAGAAAACAAAGCAGCACACAACCATGTAACTAGAAAGATAATGCAGTAAACAGCCATGCATTTCTTACTGACTCCAGAACTTTCACGTGATGCATTACATTAGTATCAGCAAAACAGAAACGAAGAGCATGCACTAGCATGTACATAATCTCGTGACTAGTGTGGATTAAATTGCTAGTAGTATGGTGATGTATTCATGACAACTGCTCAAAATGAAAATTCGATAGGAATAAATTTGATAGAAAGCTTACGTTGACGAATTTCAGTAGCAGCCTTGCAATTCCGGAAGTCCGGCGTCCGGAGAACCTTCAAGATGACAAACAAATGTAAGCTCCTATAACATCCAATTAAATGAGTTAACATTCATGAAGGCAAAGGAAAAGGTGAGATTTTTTTTTATGGATTGGACTTTTACAACTTTCTTCCCAGTGTCATTTGGTGCTTATAGATAAGACCTCCAGATGTTTAGCTTATCATTTTGCATTGCTTGAGGTCTCATTTTAAAAAAATGAATCTAGAGAACTTTAACAAGCTAACTAAAATAACATATGAGAAAATAAATTAAACATGATATACATTCCTTTTTGCACATAATACTTCTCTTATTATGGTTCAAGATCTTACATCAAATTAGCGAATGAAAACCATTTACAGTTATCAGCTCAAGGCAAAGGTGAGTCCTCAGTTCTTTAAGACATTCAGCTCCAATGCATGGGGAGAGCAACTTTCCCTGTTATGGCACATCCAAGCAGCTTAATGGAACAAAGGATTTTATATCTTATATTGAAATAAGTTCAAGCACAATCGCAGGGTCTAACCACATTAGTGCCAGTTAATAGACACCAGCTACAATTTACACATGTTTGAAATGAACTGAGATAGATTAAATCCATTGTGATACTCAAGGAACCTATTGGAAACATGACAAAACCTATCTGGATTCATATATCAGATAAAGTGTCATAGCGGAAAATTATTTACATAATGTACTGTATTACAATGCTTTACTGTATCAACCACGACTTTACAGCTTGTCTTGGAATATTAGTCATAGACTAATAGCTTTAGGTTTAGTACTAAGCCACTTCATGCCCATGTTTGTCAAAGTTCAAGAACACATGTTGTTCAAAGTTCAAGAACCCAAAGTGGGATTATAATAGAAACCAGATATAATCACCTAGAAGGGGAGCCTTAAAGGAACGGTAAATATATCTCCAAATGACGTATAAGTCACGGGTTTGATCCGCGGAATCGACTAACTCTTGCGTCCTGATAGGTTTCCTACATCACATCCACTTAGAGTGCAGTCCTTCCACGGACCCTGCGTGAATGCGGGATGCTTCATGGCTTCTTGCACCGGGCTGCCCTTTTTATATAAACACCTACCTAACCTATACCCCTAATAAACAAACAGAAATAGCAGAGACTTACAGTCGCAAGGAGAATAATGGCAATTCTTGCCTTGTCACTCTTTATGTAGTTTCTAACCTCTTTAAATCTCACCAACTTTGTTTGTTTTAGATGCTTCCAGGGAGCATACACAAGGAAAAATATGCAGAAGAAGCCAGTTCATTTAGCAAGATAGAAATCCTTTCATTATTGGTTTAGAAACAAAGAGTTTTTGTGCTTGTTCCTTACTATCAGTACTCAGACGTAAGAAAAATTCAGAATGAAAGGAAAAATGAAGAGCATTCAGTGTGAAACAAAATGTCTCCTATACAAGTCTGAAAAGGAAAAAGAAGACGGCCAGAGGGTATGCATCATGGAGGAGGGTGAGGCTAGGGAGAGGTAGAGGAGCACCAGGGATTGGATGCGAATGAAAGCGACTTCCGAAACATAAAACTATGCTCTTTCCAGAAATAACCCTTTTCTACAAAACTTTTGGGATTTTTTACTAAAGAGCTCTTGTTATTGAAAGGTTTTCAATAAAATGAGAAGAAAAATTGTTTCTGTACATGCTTATGAAAAAATGGTATCTGCACACTTGTATTTCGTCCGTATAAAATTGAAAAGCATCTTTCTACAAAACACCCTTAAGTTTCTATTACCGCTGAATGGTTTGATCTTGGACACGTAAGCACCACCAGGTTCAAAATAAAGCAGCCAAGTTTTTTTCATAGAACATTTAACAGAGAAGGTCATAGCTGACACAGACAGAGAAAAGGCGAAACAGTTAGCTAAAATATGCCAAGTTCTTCACTTATTTCTAAAAGGAAATTCTATTTACAGAGACGGCGATGTGGCTTCTCAAGTACTAGTCAGGTTAAGAAAAAATGACACTTCTACTGCATTTGTACAAACTCACAGAGTTCTCTTAATGCAGATCTCCTTACGCTAGTACAGTGAATTATATTTCACTGAAACACCTAACCTGCTCTAAACCATACAGAATTCTATGATTTTCTGAACCTACTTCATCACCCAGGAAACATATTCCCAACTTACCAACTTATATAGTATAACTAATACTAGTAAATCAGATTGCACAGAAAAAAAAAGTTATTACTGCTGCTACAATAGTTTCTTTCAACGACTAGCGAATACATGGAAATTGCACTAAAATGTTCATAAAACCCAAAAGCCCTAGTATGATAAATGTCAGATTTTTACCACCTTAGGCGCTAGAAAACCTCTAAAAATGGAGAAAAGAAATCAAAAGAGAAAATTATACTCCAACATTGAGCAGGAAATGTGGACCTTTAACAAGAGTAGTCCAAACAAAGCCAAGTTATTCACAAATTTTCTTATTATGATAAATGTCAAATGTTTACCACCACAGGAGCTAGAATACCTCTTAAACTGGAGAAAGAATAGAAAATGTGACATTTTTTAAATTTTTTAATTTTTTATAATATCAAGAACGGATTTTCACAGCCAAAAATTATACTCCTACTAAATTCAGTTTTCTAAGAAATCTAATAGGAAAAACAACAAAATGAAGGACACACACAAGCAATAACAACAAGAAGAATCCAAAAGAAGTCAAAGTTAGGCAAAAAAAAAAAAATCACATTTTTATAGAGCAAAAATATATACTCCTACTAAATTCAACTTCCAAAGAAATCTAATGGGAAAAACCGCAAATTGAAGGACACCCACACGAAATAATAACAAAAAGAGTCCAAAACAAGTCAATTTATGCAACAACAGAAAAAGTTCCCATTTGGAAGTACTTCCAAACAAATCTACTGAGCAAAAACCAAAAAATTGAAGGACGCCCACAGGAAATAAAAACAACAACAGTCCAAAAAAAGTCAATTTATTTAGAGATTAGTACCTCAATAACATGGGGTCTGAGATCTTTAACAATGTGTCTCATCTTGTAATAAGGGGTGTTGTGCAATTTGGAGGTGTCAAGTGGCCTCTTTCTACTGTTCATAGGTTGCTGAGAAGAAGAATTCTGAGTTGGGGGTGCTGCAGTTTTAGGGTCTTCCATGGATTCCCTTTCCCTTCTACGCTGTGCTGAGAGTGGAGGTCTTTCTACTTATAGCAAATGTCACTGAGGTCCCAAACTATGCTATAAGTACAATGTGATCCTATAGTACCACTACTTTTTTATTATTAGATTTTTTTATCAAATCTATAGCTAGATAATTAAGAAAAATTATTTCAAATCTCTAACATAAATAAAGAAAAAATATTGGATAAGTCTACTTTGGTTTTCCTTTTCTCTTTTCGTTTTCTATTATTTTAGTAAAAGGTGTTGCTCTTATTGATAAAATCAATTTTATTATGTCAAATTACAGGTGTTAATATCAAAACTTGAAATGAGTTAGTAGAATTGTCAGTTTAACTAAATTGAGGACCAATTCAAACGACCTAAAGATCACTTCAAGGACCAATTTGTTTATCGGTCCATTTGATATGATTTTGAAACATTTCACTTCGGTATTTTGGTATCCCAATTTCTTATCCATATCAATACCAAACCTACTTAAATTTTGTTATGGTTCGATTTTTTTTTCTCAATTTAGATTTATTCGATCCAATAACTCCGCTTTATTTAGTTTGGATGAAGAATTGTAATTTTTTCAGTATTTAAGGATCATGTGGATGGTGGAATTAAAAAACAAAATCACTAATTTGAGAATACATAACAAAAAATATAACAGTGTATACTTTGAACTCTACTCGTTTGGTACGAGGGATAAAGGATAATTAATCCCAACATTAAATTTGAGATAAGTTTATTTCATGGTTGGGTGGGACAAAATATGGTATAATTAATCCCGAGATTAGTTATCCCGTGATTGTAGTATTTTTTAATCCCTATGAGAGTATAACGAATCCCGGGATACTAATCATGGGATAACTTGTTTCCCAACCAAACGACATGGGTCCTTGGTATGATGAATAAGGAAAATAATCTCAGTATAAAAATTTAGTACCCTTACCCCTTGTGTGGTTACTAATCCTGGATAAGTTATCACATGATTAAAAATAGTACCAAGATAACTTATACCTGTCAGATAGTGGAATAGTAATCCCGAGATATTAATCATGGGATAACTTGTTTCCCAACTAAATGACAAGGGTCCTTGGTATGATGAATAAGGAAAATAATCGTGGGATAAAAATTTAGTACCCTCTTATCCCTTGTGTGATTACTAATCTTGGATAAGTTATCACATGATTAAAAATAGTACCAAGATAATTATACCTGCCAGATGGTGGAATAATAATCTTAACATAAGTTATCCCAGGATAAAGCACAATATCAGGATTAATAGGGTGTTTGGTACATGGGATAAGGATAATAATCCTGGGATAAAATTTGGGATTAATGTTATACTACGTTTGGTTTGGGTTATTAGTTAATATCGGAATAAAGTTTGGAATTAACTTTATCCCACATTTAATTTAGAATATTAGTTAATCCTGGGATAACTTATACGCTAAACTACCTGCATTACAAGAGTACCAAACAGTTAATAAGAAACTAAACGACCCTTAAACGTAACTCCAAAGCACGCAAATCACCAGGATTTTTATATACCAAAGTTATGCACACCCTTATATTTGACGACTAGTTCAATCCAGTCAAATACCAAATCAATTGTGCAAGCTAAAAATGGGCCATAGACATTGACTCACCTTGCTGTGACACCAACAATTCCATTTTTTTCATTTTTTTAATTCATAATCTTGGAACAAGTGAAAAAATGAGATTCACAAATTAACCGTTACCAAATACCAACTACCTAATCCAGTATCCTTAACAGAACTCTTCACTTCACTCTTTGTACACTCCCATGTTGTCACCTTCCTCTCCCATTTCCAAACCCTAAACCCTAATTCCCATCATCAATGACAAATTCAAGAACCCTTTTCAGCATTCAATCTCCAACCAATGCATCTTTTTCTTCCCATTTTACCCTCAAAACACCTTCAAAATTACAACAACAATCATTCCCTTCCAAACTTAACTTCAAGAAGCTCAGGTTCAGTACTTTCAAAGTCCGTTGTTGCCCTCAACAAACTCCACAGAATCAAAATCCGACTTCTGCCCTTATCTCAATTCTTCGTATAATACCTGATTGGGCTGACAGAATTCAAGAAGGGGGTATGAAAAAGAAGAGATCTTTATACACACATGAAAGTTGGATGCAACATAGGAGTTCTTTAAGGCATGTTAGGCACTTGTTTTCGAGCTTGAATTCGCGTGTGATTCTATCGTTGGTTCCTCCGGTTATAGCTTTTACCTCAGTGGCAGTGGTCATTGCTAGTTATAATTCAGCTGTTTCAATGCATTGGTTGCCTGAGTTATTCCCTGTATTGAGAGCTAGTCCACTGCCTTATCAGTTGACAGCTCCAGCTTTGGCGCTTCTCTTAGTGTTTAGAACAGAGGCATCGTACTCGAGGTTTGAAACAGGGAAGAAGGCTTGGACTAAAGTGATTGCTGGAACCAATGATTTTGCTAGGCAGGTCATTGCTTGTGTTGATAAGAGTGATGCTGTTCTCAAAGCAGCACTTTTACAGTATATCATGGCATTTCCAGTTGCCTTGAAGGTATTTTTGGTGTAGTTAATCAACTTAGCTCGCTATAAATCTTTGCATACAACCACACATTTTTTTTTTTTGTATAAGGCCTTCAATTATGCTCAATGACTCTTGCTATGGGGTTAAAAGTGGACGAGGTAGACCTAAAATCACATGGAAAGAAGTTGTCTCGAAAGACCTACAAATCCTAGGAATCAATGCAAACTTAGCTAAAGATAGGACACAATGGAAGAAAGAGATCCATATAGGTGATACTTACTAGTTAGGAATATGCTTTAAATATTAGTACTATTTTTCTTATTATTATTACTATTATATATATATTTATATATATATATATATAACTTATTTTCACTACTACTCTTATTTTATTCTGGCATGATGATGATATGAGTTAAGCTTAAAGAAAGAAGTGAGGATTCATATTGCCGACCCCAACTTTGTTTTGGGACTGAGACGTAGTTGTTGTTGTTGATTCTTTCTATGGGGTTACAATGTGTCCCTGCACTCTGTGTAGGAGAGAAATTCATAGATCATTTTGATAAAGGGAGAATTTTGGTATTTCTGCAACTAGTTTTGTCACGAAATAGAAAAAAATTAAGAAAACAAAACTTAGGTTAAACTCCTAAATACAAGTGTAACTAGGATTAGTCTGCTGTCTGCTGGCTAATGCAATGATCAGATAGTTGAGAATGTCTTATTAACTGGAAATTCACATATGAAATATATCCGTGAATTACAAATGAATTCTGAAAGTAGCCTAAAAGAGCTAAGTGAATTATTCAAAATTTCAATGGCCTAAGGCTTTATCAAAATCCAAATGGCCTATGTATATTCTTCCTTGTTTTGATGATTTAACCTTGTCTCTGCATTTTCATTCATAATTAAAAGAAACTTTCTCAAACTGCATCAAAAGGCCATCTATCTCAGTATTATTGTTGTATATTAACTAAAATGACCTTAAAATCGCAGAAGCTTTAAATCCTTATTTTACTTTCTAAACATGGAACATCTGGTATTTTGAGTTAATTTCCAACTGATAAGTTTTATTCAACATGTTGTAATGCACCTAAAAGCAAAATATATTTTCTATGATAAGCAAAGGGATAATGCTCCTTGCATCTTGCATAGTATTAAACACTAAGATTACAATATTTTTATGCAGTGCCACATAACATATGGCTCGGATATAGCAAGTGATCTCAAAAACTTACTTGAGGCTGATGATCTAGCAGTAGTTCTCAGTTCTAAGCATCGCCCTCGTTGCATCATTGGGTTCATCTCTCAGTGCCTTCAGTCATTACACTTGGAGGGAACAAAACTGACTCAGCTGGTAATTTTTCTTGATGAAGATGTACTCTTTTATGAAGTAGAAAGGTTACATCTTACATGTTATTTATTTCAGCTTTAGTTTTTTTCTTCCCTTTTTCTGTATTAGAAGACCAGTGTAAATTACATAGAAATCTCTTTAAGAAGGAGCTTCACTTGCTAAATCACACTGATTTCGTCACTAGCAGGATAATCTTTAGAGTTAGACCTAATGACTTGTGGTTTTAAAAAGTGCAGGAGTCAAAGATTTCTTGTTTCCATGAAGGTATTGGTGTATGTGAACAACTCGCGGGCATACCTATTCCGCTTTCATACACTCGGTTGACTTCAAGGTTCTTGGTCCTTTGGCATCTTACTCTTCCTATAATACTTTGGGATGATTGCCATTGGATTGTGGTTCCAGCTACTTTCATAAGTGCTGCTTCCTTATTCTGCATTGAAGAGGTCAGATTTCACTTTCTTCAATTAACCAGAGGAACTAATACTTTGTGATATAACTACTTCCTGCAGTAGAGATCACTTTGTCTGAAGGCAGGACTGTATTAAAATGTCACAGCTTGAACTGCCGTACTCTTCAATATGTACAATGGCAGAGGCAAGATTTTCACCAAGGGGGTTAAAAAATAAAAAAAGTAAACATGCAAAGAATCCAAGGGGATTCATCATCTAAAGATGTACATAAAAGAAAATTTGATCTTATAGTGAAGGGTGTTCGGATTAACCCCCATCCGCCCCTTAGCTCCCCTCATGAAACGAATATATTATTATTTATCTTAAGTTTCAGTTTGTGGGGCATTCCAGCTGATATCATCTTCATTTTAAATTGCTATGTATGAGTGATAAACTTAATGGTCTTATTACATAGAGTATCTGATGAATTGTCCGAGGCTCCAGGAGTTCATGATACTGTAACCTTGGTTTTCTATTTGAAATTCCCCCAAAAAGTTTAATAATAAAAATAAAGAGGAGAGAAACACAGTTGAAGATTTCTATTTGATTGGAGCATTGACACTGCCCAATACTGAGGTCACAGCTTGGTTGGTAACCTTCTGGACANGATGCTTGCACTTGATGAGCTCTGTCAGCTTGTTCACGACAACATCCAAGAATCAATGGCAAACGAGAAGAAGATTCAAGAAAGATTAAGTGCCAAAAGAAAGAGACGTTTCAGTGAACATTCCCAAAATGGTTGGCCAACCTCATAGGATGATAGAAAGTACTACGACTTAAACGAAAGACTGAAGTATGTGTATAGAGCATTTTCTCTATCATGACTTCAGCTACTGTACAGAAAGAGGGTGCTCCCAATACATGACTTATTTCTATCCCAAATGTGTAAATATAGAGTTGGTAGAAAGTATTTGTTCTAGAAAAAATAAAACACTTGAAGTACAACTTATATATTCAATGACTTCAAAATTGGCTTACAGAATGCACCCACATATACAAAAGCATGTATCATCTTGTGTATAACCTCATGAGAAACATGTACTCTTTGTAATATAGTAGAAGAGACATGACTCAGGAAGCAATTTTCATCGCGCTTCTCTTTTCGAGGAGAAGATTGTAGTTTTGACTGTTAATACTGTGGTGTTACAATAGCTGCCTGTCTCCTACTATTTCCAGTAGCCTAAGGACATCCCTCATATGATAATTCTTGTTTATTCTACCTAGCAGCCACAAAATTATTATGTTCTTTCATCTAAAGTTCCAGGGCTGTACAAATTAGATCACTATATATCTTGTGAGAAGTATCCTCCCAGAGGAATGCTCCCTGCAGATGTGCTTGATGTCAACTTGTTCAGACTTAGATTGAAAAACTCAACTTTCATATTTTTGGTGATATAATATGAATCGTGGTTGTACAGCCCTGGAACTTTAGATGAAAGAACATAATAATTTTGTGGCTCCTAGGTAGAATAAACAAGAACTGTATCATATTCTTGTAGCAGTTTTGAGTTTTATCCTCCACACTTCATGACTTCCTCTCCCAGCTTATGTGAGAAACTTTGGTAGAAGTATGTGTGGTACGAAAAAAGTTAAATCATAATATTAACAAATCAACTAATATAAGCATGCCAGTAAATGTCTGAGAAGGCAAAAAAGATAATGTCTGAGCCCGGGTTCGAACCGGGGACCTCTAGTGTGTGAGACTAGCGTGATAACCAACTACACCACCCAGACTTTGATGTTAGTTAAAAAAGGAAAAATGATAGGAAAGAAAAACCAGATGGGTTTCTAGGTTGATGAAGGCTGCTCTCACTAATTATCTCCAGCTCCTCCTCATTTCAAACATTTTGAACGAAGTACACCCCTTGGGGTCGTTTCATATGATAGATAAACAAAAATAATTATGAGATAAAAATTTAGAATTATCTTATCCCTTATTTAGTATATGTGTCGTAGTAGGATGGAATAATAATCTCAGAATAAAATAGTAAAATTAGCGATACTAAAATTAATACAATGTACTAAATAATCAATAAGAAATAATATAAGTATAATTAATTTTATCATAATTTGTATCAATATAACTAATCTCAATATAACTAACATAACTGTGTGTTAAAACCAAACAACCCCTTAACGTTTTATTCCTTAAAACTGCGGCTTACAAAGTGGACCTCTAACTATTCTAGTTTTCTTTTTGTTTTTCAACATTCAAAATTTTCACTTCACTCTCTATCTTCAATTCTTTCCCTCCCCCTCTCTCTCCAGCAAGTAATGGAAACGAGCAGAGCGCAGCAGCAGCAAAATCAGGCAGAATCCCTAGTCCAAAACGATGACGAATTGGAGGTAGACGAAGCAGAAAGGCAACTGGAAGAAGAAGTAAGGGAACTGGAAGAAGGAATTAACCAAACCGCTGAGAGAATTTTGGAGCTCAGAACCACACTTCCGCATCAGCTTAAAACTACTCTCGCTTCCCTTCTTGTTGCTCAAAGACCCGTTTCTTATGCGAGATCCGAATCTCAACCTGGCTGCTCCAGTGACCCACTCACCTCCGGTATGTTTCTAGGGTTCTCTTTTTCTAATCCATTGGCATATTTTATTTTTTTAGATTCGCAGTGTTATTAAACGGCAAATTATTTAGTGTTGTAATGAAATGACGTATAGAGTGCAATAGTTAAAAATTATCAGAGTTAATTCCTTGTATGACCCGTTATTTCTCTTAATAAGATATACACTTTGTAAACAAACATTCTTGAATCACATTTTTGTGTGATATCCAAAAAAAATAGAAAGAAAAAAGTAAAAGCTGAACTCCATTATTTCACTCATACAGTTGCTCAAAATTTTCCATTTCTAGCATCAGTTATGAGAAAATGCCAACTTGCAGCTTCTGCCTTTTTTGTTTGTTCTAGGATTTGAACCTTGGTCTCCTGCAGTCTTATCAACTGCTGGGTTACACCCTTGATATTTTTCTCCATTTTTTACATATGAAGTAATTTCAGAATTAAAGAAGACCACGACTATCCAACTGTCTTAGAAGCACATTGTAGAGAATGGTGCAATGAATTGAAAGAGGATCTAGTGTTTCCTTGCGAATATGAAATTGTCTATCCTTACCTTATAAAGAAAGAAATTTGTCGATCCTAGTTCAGTATAAACTAAAACCCCATCTCTTATAGATAAACTTTTTAGATGTCATGTTATTATTATGCGAGCTATTGATCCAAGGGAAGTTGTCAAAATTTGGTGTCAGCGGGGAGTCCAGACTCCAGACACTGTATAAATATTCTACACTGAGTTTGAGCCTTTGAGGAGGTCATAGGTAGATAGAAGACTTGGGGCGACATCATTATTGTGGACATTGAACTTGGACCCATGTCATGCTTTGAAACGCGTACATTATGGTAAAAAGGAGTCCTTCTATCTTAACACTTGGAACTTCTTTCTCTTTTCACTTAGACCTTCTATTAGTTGGTTAACACATCGGTGAACTTGCAGTGCTGTGAACTACTGTGGTGTCATAGGCTTCTCCATTGAAGTGAGAGCTCATTCTTGCTTTCTTATGTCGAATCTAGTATTCTGCTGTAGGATGCAGGCCTGAAGCACCCAAACTAGTTATTCATGTCACCTATGTTATTGTATAGAAGGTTAGTGTGTGGTTCTAGCTTGATATATTGAGGCCACCAAACTAGTTAAGCAGCTTAAGCCATGTACCTATTGTCGTGTACTGAAGGATAGTTTGTGGTTTAGCTTGACCTATCGAGTTAAGCTATTATCTGAACATGAATTTTCCATTATTCTCACATTCTGGAGTTCACGATGATTGAAAAAAAAAAGAGTATTGCCATCTTAATTGAAATTTTGTGCAAACATAAAACCATGTCACACTAACAAACGCTGCACATAAAATGATTATAAAAAGAGATTAGTAAAAACAACTACTTCTCCCGCCGCCCCCAACAATATAAGCTAAGGATGAAAGGGAAGTTTAAACATAATAATTTTTAAAAAAAAATTATGAAGTTTGTAATATGGTTTATGACCAGGTTCCATCATAATGCAGGTGGGTGCAAAACTATCTGGAGATAAGGCTCCTTTGCAACAATCCTTTGTTGAGTGACTAGTTTTCCTCTTCGTTTTTTCCCTTTTCATAAATGTTGAAGGGTTTGTTACTAAATAAATGGTCTTCGCATTATCTTAGCAGGAGTACGTGCTGTTTTATTATTTTAGTACCTCTTGATAATAGTGGAAGTAGTTTTTTTAACTGTCTGTAATTTTTTCAGAACAGGGTTGCATTTCCTGATGTGCTTTTCCTCCTTTTTGTATGGTGTGCCCTGATTGTCCTTTTTGATAAACCCTTTCTCCTTTTCAATTATTTTGGACCAGTACCTTTAGAAATAATGAACCATCCCTAGATATTTGTCTCTTTTGATTGTCAACTTTTGGCAGAGTGAAGTTCTCCCAGTTTTAAAAACTAGAGGTACTTCTGATCTGGAAGATTTCCTGGTTAACTGTTTTAAGTTGGACGATAAAATTCTGAAACAGTATTATAGGGGTAGTGGTAAAAGATCACACAGACCTTAAGAACAATAAGCTCATGTATTATACGAAGAACATTAGGAAGCGCAAAACACAGACCTTAAGAAAAATAAGCTCATGTATTATATGAAGAACATTAGGAAGCGCAAAATCAACAAGATAATTATCTGGTTCCACCTACTAGGATAGATACCTAATAAGCTTTTGTCGTGATTCCCTGGAAAGTGTAAGCCCGAGATTGTATATATGTAACCTTTTAACCGTTGAACAATTGTTGACTATTTCAATGTGGGATCTCTACTGTAATAAAAGGAAAAAGGAATCACACAATCTTCTTTCAGTTCAATATGAGTACTTACTTTTGCTTTACCTTTAAAAAGAACGATTGCTTACTTTTGCTTGAGAGCTACAAGGCCAGAGACATACTCACAGCGTCATTAGGAGCTATAGGGCATCCCGGTGCACTAAGCTCCCGCCATGCGCGAGGTCCGTGAAAGGGACGGACCACAAGTGTCTATTGTACGCAGCCTTATCCTGTATTTCTGCAAGAGACGCGTCATTAGGAGCTAAGTGCACTTAATACAATTTCCTTTGTAAGGTTTTAACTTTGTCATTAGTGGGAACCTTAAAAAATGCCTGTAGAGTTTTAACTCCATACATGCAAAGATCGATGTCCTTGTGTTGATACTTCAGTAAACTTGTGAATTTACAGAATCGTTTTCTTTGTAATTAATATCCTGATCGCTGTCACAGCCGTTGCAGGGCCTAGTCAACGTGGTGCCCCCTTAGCTGAAGAGGTACAGAAACAAGCTGAGAAAGTGCAGCTCCTTAAACAGAAGATATCAAGTATTGGATCCGCCTTACCTGTTGTATTGAACAGGAGGAAGGAATGTATGGCAAGGATTGACAAACTACAGCCGAACAAAAAAACCATTCATCCTGCCTTTAAAAGGAAAAGAACTAGCGGATAAGCCCTGCTGGATATGCTTGGTATGGTATAGAACGTTCCGTTTATTACTAGTATATTTAACAGCTTTGCCTGCTGCAGAACTCGTGAAATGTCTTCCAGAGAAGTATTCATTGACATAGATCTAACATAGTCGGGGAACACTTTCTTTCTGTACTTAATTGAATCATTAGTTAGTTTGTATGATAGGAATTTCTTAGTAGTGTTAGGGTTAGGTTATGATGATGAGATGAAAACATGTAGAGTAATCCATTTAGTTAGAGGTTATGATTCTTGTGGTGCTACATTGTACAAACCTTATTCTGTATCCTCGGATAGAATTTCAGTTATTGTTGCTGTTGGGCATGTGCTGAGCAAAAGCTTTGAACTCCAAACTGTGCAAAACATTGACATTACTGAATTAATTCAGAAATTATTTAGGACAGCTAAATAGTACTATTTATTCATGAAGTTACAGTGTAGATGATTATCGAAATCTGCACCCTGAATATTAGTACAAAGCAAGTTTACTTGTTACGACAATAGTTAAATGAATTTAAACTCTTAAAAAGTTGTGAATATTGTATACAACAATATTACAAGTTAAACGTTGAGCTATTGTCACTTCTAGCCATCCGGAAAAAGCTAATAACAATTGATAGCTATAAATTATAATATACATTTTATAGTCCAAAACTAATTCTAGCGGCTAGCCACTGAAATTGACAAACCCAACTATCATGGAAACACAATATTGAGTTGCAGCAAGAACCCTATCTTGTCCTTCTATAGTCGCCGCCATCAACCCTTCTCTCTCTCTCTCTCTATTTTCCTTCCTTTCTCTTTCAACCTGGCTCTATGTATCTATATGTGTGTGGATTGAATTGAATTGATATATGTATAGAGATTTGGGGGGGTTTGAAATTAGGGTTTCGGAGGAAAGGGGAAGAAAAATGGGTCCTCGATCGAAGTCAGAGGGGGAAAGAAAAAAGAAAGAGGACTAGAATTGTTTGGTGGGTTTTGGGAGTTGGAATTTTGGAAATTCAAACGTGAATTGTAGCGTCCATTTCTGCAGTTGCTGCCTTCGTCCTTCCAACTTCCAAAAATAGATTTTAGTATTATTTTTGAAGTATTTTGCTTTTTAAATTTTTAA